ACTCAACGGTCTAAGAGAATGCTCAGCGATGTCGATTACCATCATGGACGTGCTAGTAAGATTGAACGGTCATCGGAACATAGCATGTGCGAATTCCATATTTAATGGGGGAGGAGGAGGTAACGACGACCTGCCTGATCATCAAAAGGGATAATGCAGCACCCGAACATGAAAGCCATTGCATTACCTGAAATCGCTCTCAATCCGACTGCGATCACCGAAAGTAATTTTCAGCTGCTGGTGGCTGAAATAATTGGTGCACTGTTTGCTATGTTGATGACGGCTGTAATTGTGGGAACGTCGTTGCAAATTCAGAAAGATGGAATTCTTTCACCACATTCGATATTCTCATTCGCTGTGATAGCCAGGTGAGAAATGGCTTACTTTTGATGTTCATGAAAAGTTTGCAATTACTGAAGTGACCCTGATTAGATTGATATTGTTCAATTGCCAGCATTGCATGAATAACATTCGTTAAATCTGCAGTCTCATAACAAATGTTCTGTATCCACGAAATTCTTTAAGTGATTATCTGATGCCTACCAAATTTTTAAAATTCGAATCAAAATTTCAGTTTCCTTACTGCCGCCATTCTTCATCCTCTTGAATTCACATGCATTATACCAGGAATGTTGTATTTCCTGGCGATTCCTTGTATGTACATGCTGTTACCAATATACAGTCTGTGTAACATGAATACGGTATCATGGGGTACAAGAGAAGAACCAAAAGGTTAGTAGATTTTACCCAGGTTACAACTTTAGGAATTGTTTTGGACAACAATTGTTGCACTCTGATTATCGTATTTCCAAAAAACTCACATCAGCTAATTCTTTCAGTAGAAACAAAGAAGGCAAAGAGCACACCCGCAAAACGCTTCGATATAGTCGAAAGTGATATCGGCAACGAGGTAATTACTTCATTCCATCAAAGGGGAAGTTTTAAAATGCACACGACAAGGCGAAGTTCCATCGCTGCAATGGGGTGAACCATTCAAAACTGTTTCAAATTGAGTGTTCCCTGATGCAGTGAAGGTCGTGACTTAAAAAGTACACTTAATGATGAGTGCTTGCTCCAACTTCAGGCGGATGGTCAAATTGTGGTTGGTTGTGGAAGTGCTTGCCGTATATTGTGCTGCTTGAAGCCAGATACAATGGAGACGTCACCTCAAGTAACTTACTCATTCGTCATTTCTGATATGTATGAGTGAGGAACAGCATATAGCTTAATTTGAGTATCCCTTCCAATTGTAAGACTGGAAAATACTCATGATTTTGATTGTAGGATATATTTAGCCAGTAGCAAAGATGTAAGGTGAAAATTCTAAAGTGAAGTTTATGCTTACCTCATATTCATCCCACTGCCTCGCGAAAGCTGCAAATGATTGCAGATATGGCGTATCAATGAGAAACTAAGCGATATCGAACGAAAATTGGATCGATTCGACCGTAGATCTGGTGCAATTACTAGGCGCTCATCAGCGTTGAGTGGGTCAGCGGGTATTGCAAACGATAAATGGACTGAGATTGAAGAAGATGAACAGGTGAGAATTTTAAAGAGTATTTCCAGTGAGGTCAAGAAATGAGTTGGGGATTCACAAAATGGAATGTAGTATTTGCTTACTGATGAGATTTTCACTGACACGTGATGAACGAAGTTCAAGGCTGAGCTGGATGATAATCGTGATATGAGTAACCAATCGGCTGCGGCAATGCGAAATCGTAAGTGGAAATCGACGGCCAACGAGAGTTGGCTGAATGAACGTTTGCTGAAACGTGCTGAACGTGAGTATTTGGATGCAGAAGAGGAGTCGTTCTGGAGTGATGTAATCGAAATGTACTTAACTCCGATCGCTATCGACCCCAAAGAACAACAGAGGATACAAATCGGTCTCACGGAACTTCGAAATAAAGTAAGTAGTTCTGCTGTATTTATGCAAATATACAAGATATAATACTTCGATCACTTCGAAATGGGCATGATCAAAAGGATCAATCAGTAACATCGGTAAATCAAATCCTTGTTCGCTGCTTGCAAAACAACACAATAATCATCGGATCTTTCAGGTGTGCTCAGGTTTCTTCATGGTCAACGTTGTGTACATAACTATTGTACTGGTGCTGCAAATGCAAAAGGATTGCTTGCATATTGAATGGCCTTTAGGGCCGAAATTCAATCATACAATAATTCCTTGTAATAGTGATTCTCGTGAGGAAGTTTGGGTCATGACACGCCTGCAGCTCGAGCCTATTGGACTTGTATTCCTCGTATTCTTCATGTCGATTCTCATCATTCAGGTTCACTCGCCCAACTCCATTCTGTGGAATTTCCAGAAAATGCCGTGGGACTGTTCTTTTTGGTCCAATATTTTTGTCTGTTGTGAATGTTTTTCTTTAGTAACACTGAAAAGTTTTGCTCGTTAGCCTGGAAGAGCCCATTAAATTTGCAGTTCTTGGCAATGTTGATGCATCGATTCGGTACACTGGAGCACATAATCGCATCAACGGAACTTTTCTGTCGCTCAAAAGCACTTGATAAACTCAGTGAGGAAGAGTTGGTCGTGCAGAATGCCGTCGAAATCGCAAGAGAACTGCAGGCGATTCGCGGCATTGATGAAAGTGACGATCAAACACTACCGGTAATTCGCACTATCTCGCTTGTGATAGACTCAGCCTCTGCTAATGAATGCCTAGAATTGGAACTCGGAGTTTCAATTGCTATTGTACACAAACTTAATATCGTGAAATTGGACGGAAATCCATGAATTAATTTTATAAGATTTGGTGCCATGGGACTGACCTGTTCTTCAAATGAAATGTTTATTGTTTCAAGGAAGAACGGCCAATATCACGTCGTCGTGTTGTGCAGAATCTGGAGTCTTCGCGACGTTCGATGATGAAACACCGAACGGACACACTAGACGCTGCCTTCAAGAAGCGATTTTTCGCATTGTCTAGCGATAAAATTGATGACAACAACCAAGTGACCAGCGGATTCGGTTCGAGGGAAAAACGACTGACACTCCGAAAAGGGACAATACGTGCAATCGAACAACGGCGTAACTCTTTGTTTGGCACCATCGATAAACGTCGTGTAAGTTCTGTTGGCGACACGCTTCTTTGAAGATGAATTTAGTCAATTTGCTTATCCGATCGCATTTGGTCCTAGAAATGTAATGAAACAAAACCTTCTGTGCTAAACGACTTCC